AAACTGCTGAGGTGCGCTTGCATTTCTTCTTAGAACTTGCAACACTTGCACTAGCACTACCGCTTGCCTCTCCTCCACGGCCACTTGTGCCACCACCATTGCGTCCCCGACCTCTAGTACGTCAACCAGGGGTCGGATTTGCAGTTTGATCAGCATCTCTTTCCATAGTTTGCGATTCCTGCGATTGAAAAACATTAGGAAATTGCCCTTCTTCGATGTTGAATTGGGCATCAATAGGAATATCACCACCACCACCATAACCAGAAGAAGTCATTATGAAAAATAAGAGAGATTGAGAGCGCTTTGAGAGAGCTTAAGAGAGTTCGAGATTTGAGAGAGATTTAAGCGAGATTAAGAGAGATTTGAGAGAGATTAAGAGAAATTGAGAGAGATTAAGAGAAATTGAGAGAGAATGAGAGAGAATGAGAGTTTTGGGGTGAGGAAAATGGCTGGGGGGAGGGGGGTATTTATAGGAAAATTTTTGGGTTGAAAAGAAAAATTTTTCCCCCAAAAATTCGGGTCCAACGGCTACAAAATTTTCGGGCAGGTCAGGCAAAATTCGAGCAGTTCGGGCAATGGATAAAAATCCGACCGTTTGGTTCAAAAATTCGGGCAAAATTCGGGTTCGGGTTCGGGCAAAAGACCGTTTTTTTTTCAAAATTCAGGCATTTTCGGGCTAACGGTAAAAAAAATCAGGCATTTTTCGGGCACGGGTCGAAATTCGGGCAACGGTCACCAAAATTCGAGCAACGATCACAAAAAATTTGGGTAATTCGGGCAAAAATTCAGGCAGTTCGGCAGCTTCGGGTATTTGCCGGAAAATTCAAAAAAAATCTGGCGAACGGCGGGGGAAGGCTTCTCCACGACGGCGGACTGTTGGGGGCTTACCATTTTCGGGCTACCCGAGCCCGTGCCCGAAGAAAATCATTTTCGAACGGCGAGACGGGCCTGCCCGCCGTGCTCAAAAATTTTCGGGCATCGGGCATACCCGCCGCCCAAAAGCCTAACACTATATCAACTCAAATTAAAAACTCAAATTAATAAATTAAACGGGCACAATCCTTTTTTTGACTTTGAGTATTTAACTTAGGCAGCCACAGGCCCATAATTGCTCTCACTCATATTGTCCTTTCATTGTCATTTATGATCCGTTTAAATTTAGAATTTAAATTTTATTACAGTAAAAAATTATTCGAAATAGTCACAATTAATATTTTTATTATAATAAAAATTTTTCATATAAAATTATATATTAATTTAAATTAAAAATTTAAATTAATGTCTCATTTACTTCGTGAATTTAAATTAAAATGTGATATTTTTAAAAAAAAATT